GCAAAGCTAAAAATACTGCCTGCAACTCTAGGCAGTTTATATGCCACTTCGCTTGTGCACTTATCCAAGTGCCGTAAGCCGGTCAGCCATCGAAAAGGGCTCCCCAGCCCATCAATTACGTATCCGTAGTGACGATTTTTTTTGCTGACCACTCTGCCCATCGAGACGCCCTGCTCGAACATCCTCGTGTTGAACTAGGGGGGGTTAGCGTCAGCATGCATCTGCGAGTCACCAAGACGTGCAACTGGCCATTCTTCCACGCTCTGCGTAGCACTCGAGATTTCAGCAACAGCTGAAGTGGTCTCATATGCAGAAGCCTGAGCTGGCACACCACAACTGCTGCTGCCGCCATACGCCCTAACAGTCTCTGAAAGCATTCCAGAATAACCACTCTCCCCGGTCTGAACGAGGTGAGAGCGCTGACCAAAGACTTTATTAGTTCTGCGTGGGGTGATGCTTGCTCTTCTGCACATTGATCGTCAGTCCTAGATGCTTCAGATGCTCTAGAAGCTGACATCTGTGGTTTTCCAGTGTGTCCCGTGACTGGGCTATAACAAGCCATTCGTCCAGATAATTCAGAATGCAAATTCCACTCTGCCTGAGAGGGGAAAGCGCTGCATTTATACACTTTGTAAAAGTTCTCAAAGCCAACGCCAACCCGAACGGGAGAACTTTGAATTGATAAGCTCTGTCCTTGAACGCGAATATCAGAAAGCGACTGTGACGAGGGGCTTTGATCTTGATGTGAAAATAGGCGTCTTTTAGGTCCACCGAGATAAACCAGTCCCTGGGCTGAATGTGCACGAGTTATCATTTTGAATGAGCGCTTTGGTAGCGCACGGTTCAGCGGTCTCAATTCCAGAATAGGGTGAAGACCCCCATCCTTTTTGGGGACTAGGATGTAGTGACTGTAAAGGCCACACTCCATAATCTCCGGGGGAACTACTTCTATTGCCTGCTTTGCCAGGAGAGAGCGAATCTCTGCTCACAAAATCAGTGCATCCCTGTCTGGCACATCTGACATCATCACGCCGCTGAAGCGGAGTGGTCTGCGTATAAACTGAAATGTATACCCGCTTGTGACCGTGTTCAGCATTCTGAAACTCCTGGAAGCGCACGCCACACGTCCGTATAGTGAGAGAGGGGTTGAAGTGCCTCGTGACGAGTCCGGGACGGCTCGCTGTCTGATGACGGGGAACCGCCCACCACTTGAGGGGTATCGTTGATGTCTTCTGCACTGACTGGTCCACTGGCAGACTGAGAGAGCGCGCGGGGCTTGCGCCCTGCAGAGAGCTGTTCGAAAACGGGTCTCTGCTTATAACGCGCAATTGGGAACAATCGTGAGAGGTAAAAGAGCTCTTTTGTTGAACAGTGTTTGGTTTGTGTTTTTGTGCAAACTTTACTGGCAACAAACTGACACATTTCCCCCTGTCGTCTGCAACACACGAGAGAACAGGTGGATGCAACAGCAAGACGAACTCTCTTGCAAAGCAGCTTGTCGTCCGTCTCCCTGGGCGGCCGCTTCCCCCTAAGACCACCCCCCTCAGGAATGCGGCTGTGGGTCTGGCACAACATTTACAGGACGGGGCCCCATCTTCTTAGGATACCGGAACTGCTTCGCTTTCAGTGTCATGGCTGGCTCCGGGTCCATCCTCACGGCCAAGGAAGGAGTAGGCGGCGGTCTTTCACGCCGTTTTGATCGCTGCGAAGAAGAGGATCTGGAGTGTGGCAGAGGTGCAGTGGACTGATCTCTCTTTGGCAAGAAGTGGCTCATCGAATTTGACTGTTTCTGGGCCTCCAGAAACTTTTCAGAAAATGAGCCCGATTCCCTGGGCCATCTTCTTCATGGCCCTGAGCGCCAAGTCGGTGGCCGAATGCAGCTTTTTGAAGGTGGCAGAGTCTGGCCCCTCCTCATCCTCTGCAGCATCTTGGCTTGAAAAGCCTGGAGAACAGGCATAGTGTGGATCACGGAAGCCGCTTGGCCGGCTGCCATATAAGCCTTATCCACGATGTGGCTCGTGGTTCGACATGGCTTCGAAGGAAGCAATGGTGAAGATTTCCACGCATGTGAGGACGGACAAATATGCGCAACCAGTGCTTAATTTGAGCCGGATCCTGTTCCGGAAAATGTCAGATTTTGGATTTTTGCATTCCGGTAATTGTTTTTAAGGATCTGGCTTTAGATCGTGACAGTGCGTGCGTGCATTTGAGAGTGAGCGCAGGTTTATGTATTTGGAGGTTATGTATTGGGGTCCTCAACATATTTTTGACCGTGACCAGTCCAGCTTTCTTAAGTTCAAACTCGCTCTCATTGATTGGTGCTTACTGCTTATTGTTTTGTGAGCAGCAGAACGTTTGCAGAGAGTGTAATAATACCATAAATAATAACAAATAAAGTGAAATATTATAATGTATAAACATTATAAACACTATAAACATAGCTATATGTTAGCATAGCTCACTCCAAAACAAATCATATAAATGTAACGGAATTCAGAACAAGAATGAAAAAAAAATATATATAAACCTAAAGAAACCAAAACAAAGTGAAACTGAAAGTACCAGGCATTAATTGGGCTCACTTACCTCTCATTCGGCACAAATCCTAATGTTTCCATATTCGCAATGCATTTGAATGAAACTATTATTTATAATGAAGAGGCTTTGTACTTCACGTGCGTTCGTATTATCAACAGAAATATCCTCTTCACATGAGCAAAAATGTGCTTGGCATACAAAGTGGACCAGTTATACCACAGACTATTTAAATTGACCAGTGTAACCTTTTATATTTTTGGTTGACTGTATTTTATTTTGATAATGAACAGACTGCGATGTCAAGTTTGAGTTGCGAATATGTGGTGTGTGTGTGTGTGAGCAAACTTCCCATAAAGTTTGTTTTTATAAATCTCACCTGTTGAGTAGAAAGTGGCGTACGCCTCTTTCAGGGCAGGTTTTGTGCATACGCAACGGTTATAAATGAGGCCCCAGGTCCCGCACGTCATCCGAGGGGCAGAGGCTGGGCTTGGTATAGGAAACAAGTGGCCCTCTTGAGCGATGAGCATGGAGGAACTGAGTCGACATGCGTTCATCAGAGGGGCCTACTGTATGTGGCTGCCTCTGCCTTTCCTCCCGCGGCTCGACGGCGACGGGGCAGAGGCAAGGGATTAGCTGCTGCTCCCCGCCCCCTTTTCCAGGATAGGGATGTGCCTTTACAGCTCGTAGCTCACATACTCTGCCAAAAAAACATCTGTTTGGTTTTGATTATTATGTCTATCATGCTGAAATCATGCATTTTAAAGCCATATCAGTTTAAACTTCTGATATATACGGTTTCTGAGTGCACACACAGTCTTGTCAAATGGAATGTGAGTACTAAAGTTATCTTTCATGCACAAGTTTGTTAAAAACACAAAAACACAGTCAGTTATGTCTGTGAAGCTAAACTGCTAGGAAAGAAATCGCAAGTTTATATTAGATCTGTGTATTAAGTTACAGCAACGTAATGTACATTACCTGCTACAGCTGTCTATGCTGTTAATATAGGTGGCCATGCGTGCCATTTTTACGGGACACGTCCTGGCCAGGATTTCTGTATTTGGCTCTGTTTTCCTGTTGTCATACTTGCTAAAGGTAATGATTGACCAATAACGTGCAGGCATTGTACATAATCGATCAATCGTGGCATGTGAGAAAGTGGGATCTACAGAGAAAGGTCAAAGTAATCCAAATACACGCACATGTTAGATGTGTTTGTTCGACACCGATCGTAGTATGACATCAAAGTACAGCGAGTGCGATTCGAAAGCATAAGGAGCCGTCTGCTCTCATAGCTCTCACGGATGTCATACAGCGATCGCTCTGCACAGCGCAAACAGCCAAAACCTGGATATTTTAGGCAATATAGAAATCCTGGCAAGGACGTGTCCCGTAAAAATGGCCTGTATGGTCACCTTATGTTAATATGACCCAAAAAAATAAAAGCAGAAAATCACTTGAATGAATGATTTCTGTAGCTCAAAAAGAAGATATTTCTTACTTGAATGCTGCTTTTAATGCTCTAGCATGAAGATAAACATGCCGGATTGTGTGCAGCTCACTCAGGGCGGTGTCTCTGCTAATTCGGCAGTGTCTGTCAACAGTCGTGGGTGGGGCTTGTGAAATGTGATGTCATATTTTACGGATTCTGTGATTGGTAAACTCTGAGACACTGCTTATGATTTAAGGGGATTAAAAAAAGAAGCAGATGGATTGTTATAATTATAGGGTGGTTGTGTACACATACTGCCAACACACATTTAAGTTCAAACAACATGTAAACGTGAATTTTGCATAATAGGTGCCCTTTGAATTACTAGTTTAAAATGAAATAATTCAAATCTAAAACAAAAACTCTTTCATTATGTAATCCGTAAAGATGCATTTCTCTCTAAAGGCACGTCCAATGAGGAGATGGCAATCAGGATCATCAACTTCATCTTTGTGACACTGACTCAGAAAACTGGTTTATTAATAAATAATTCAAATATCTCCTTACTATTTTTGGGTATGCCCAGTGAGATTGTGCTTGTGGCCCAGGTGAGAGTGGGTAAGAGTCTTCTGAGCAGGCAGGAATCAGTATATGCAGTGATCTACCTTTGGAGGATCCATAACACCCAACAGCTTTCAGTCACTCTGACAAAGAAAACAAAAGCCCCTTCAGTCCAGAAAAGAACCTCTCCCTCTTCTGTTTCCACTGAGGATTAAATCCTTGTCTAGGAGATTGACTGATTGCTCCTCAGCTGGTTTGTGTGTGTTACCAGGGGCAGTACATGATGAGCTGCTGGCAACTCGCCACTGTATTTTCAAAATTTTAACACTGTCTTTAATAACCCATTGCTTAACGGGAAAAGCTGCAAACTGACTCAGTTGGTTGTAGTGAATTGTGTTTAATTGTTTTCTAACCTACATTTTACAATCAAAATAATGATGTGCCTGCACTATTTTTTTTTCCTTTACAGAGGTCTATGACTTCACTGATATGTATAGATACGCCACCTACTGGATATTACAGATTTACACAACAACAGGTTATGGTGATATAACGGCATCAAACCTTGCAGAAATGATTGCATGTGTTATGATAATGATTCTATCTAAAATTCAAGTGATTTATAAAATGGGACTTCTCGTCGCTACACAAACCAACAAGATGACACTGCAGGAAGCCTTTGAGGAAAAATTGCAGGTTATTGTAAATACTGCATATTTGAGAACAGTGCTACTGTATTTAACGTGTGTATGACAGAGTGTTTGATTTATTGTAATTATGTATTTCTCAATAACCTTGTCATCTGTTCCAGACTATTCAGGCACACCTGATGCATGAGAGAATCCCATCTACATTACAAAACCGAGTGACGCAGTTTTACAGTTATCATTGGAACCGCACTAAAGGGACATGTGCTGAGGTTTTGTTCAAAGGTGTCCCCTGCTGTTTGAAAATGGACATTGTGTCAAGGTAAACAAGCCTACCAAGTTTGTTTGGGCAGAATATTTTTATAGACAAAGGATGAATCAAAACTATTGTCTGTGGTAATCACCAGCATTATGATGAAAGGAGATACAAAGTTTCATTAAAATGTTTTTGAATTTGGTTATTGGCTGTAGCAAAAATAATTATTGACTCTCCAAATTGGCCAACACAATGTACAACAATATGAAAATGCAAACCAAGAAAGTAAAGAAACAATCAGAGATTTAAGACAGTCAGGAAGGCAGAAGGAAGAAAGTGCAACAAAAGAGACATAGACAGAAAATGTCAACAATACTGTGTAAACAAATATGTTTGGATTGGATTTTGAAGGTGGGGAGAAGAAAGAGCTTTGACACTGAAGCATATTGGTGCTTCCCTATAAAATAACCTGGAAATTTCCTTAAAGGGGTGGTTGATTGCAATTTCACTTTTTTTAACGTTAGTGTGGTATGTTGCTGTTTGAGCATAATATCTGCAAAGTTACAACGCTGAAAGTTCAATGCAAACGGAGATATCGTCTTTTAAAATTATAGCAGTTTAATGCCTACAAATATGGCTCATATGGACTACAACGAGTTACTTCCCGGGTATGTGATGTCACAAACCCTGATAAACCCCGCCCCCGGGAACACGCAACAAAGGGGGCGAGGCCATATTGCACTGCTTTAGAGAAGAGGAAGAGTTGTTGCCATGCCGTTAAAACTAGGGATGCACGAAAAAAATCTATTCATATATGAATTGCGATTCTGTCATCTAATGATTTTAATGGATTCACAAGTTTCAAAATCAGTGTTCTAATCCTGTTCCTCGCGTCCCCCTACTCTGCACACGCTCTGCTCTTTCTCTCTCTCATTCAGATCATCAGCTCAGCTCCAACAATGAACTGTTCCAGTTATACACTTTATGTGTATAGACTAGGGATGTGCATCTCATGACTCAGGCCGATACGATACACATCTCGATGCATAGCCAACGATACGATACATTAAAGATACATATGAAGCAGCTACCGATGCAATGCGATACGATACGATTCACCCCTATTACGATGCAGTGCGATCCGATTTCGATTCGATTCAACACAATACGATTCGATGCAATATGATGCAATGGAGAAAATATGATCACTTTTAATGCCTCGAGGCCTGTTTCATAAAACAAGTTAACCAAATAAGCCAGGCTTATTTCAGTTAGTCTGACTCATTGTCAAATGATTTGGTTCCATAAAGCAAATTTAACATAGGCCAAGATCAAGCTTAGTCACTGTGGCAAGTTATGCTGGGAAACTAACCTGGTCTAAAGCAGGCTAACTGTAAGGTTAAGCTCCTCTACTGACCAATAGGAACATAATGATATTACCACAGTCTTGACTTTTTTTTCTTTTTTTTTTTTTACAGTTTCAAGCCATGCAGCCTTTCTCTCTGGTTGTATTACAACTGTACCTTTTATAGTTTGCAGAACAGAACATTAGAACATTACAATCTAAAATTGCTCTTTAAAGCATTAAAATAACTAAATTAAAAGTTAAAATCACATGCAGCCTTTCTCTCTGGTTGTATTACAGCTGTACCTTTATAGTTTGCAGAACAGAACATTAGAACATTACAATCTAAAATTGCTCTTTAAAGCATTAAAATAACTAAATTAAAAGTTAAAATCACTGAATTAAAAATGAAAATAAATAATAAAGAAAATGACTACATTTTAACTGCTATACGAAACACACATTAACTCATTTGAGCTTAGTAATTAGTACTGTAGACCCCATAAACACAATCAAGCCTAGAAAAAAACAGTCAATCACCGCTTTAAAACTCAGGTTGCAAGGTTATAAGGTGAGACCTATCTGTCCTATCTGGTAGTATTCAGGTGTTCCTAGTAAGTAGTCCAAAGGCCATGTTGTGTACTGTAGTACTCGTGTGGTGTTAATGGTGCACACATTGTTATTATTTTGTGTTTCATTTAGAATCTGCATGCAGCATTTAAAGAAGCATCATTTATTCTCCCACCTAAGAGAACCTGTCATGAGGGAGCTTTCCACAAGAATTATCTTCCGGTGTTTCCCTGTTGGTGAGCATTTGTTAAATCTTTGATCAGTCCCAAGCCTACAGCCAGCTTTACTGAAGAACTGTTTTTACATTTTGATGTAATATTGTTGTTGTTTTTTTAAGGAGAATTTATTTACAAAAAGGGAGACATTGCCACTGGAATGTACTTGATATTAATTGGCAAGGTTAATCTGTGCCTGGACACAAGAGGTAAAAACGTCTTCCAGCGTCTCTCTGCTGGAGCAGCTTTTGGTGATCACTTTTTATGGGAACATAAACACAGTGACACTGCAATAGCTGCAAACTATGTGGATATTGCCATACTCTCCAAAGACGCTTTGGAAGATGTGGCTCTCTTATGTACATCTGTTGGCAAACTGTTAAAGAGAGCTGCTGAAATGCCACAGCTGTAGTACACTTGACACACTTGTTTATTTTAACTGATATTAGTTGAGCTGTGTGGTATGTTTTTTAGATTTATTAAGTGTAACTGCAAGTCCATTCCGCTAATGGAGAATATTTTGTTAATTTGCCATGTTCTAATTGAGTGTAACTTTTAGGAGTTTATTGTTCCTATTGTACTGTGAATTAATAATTTTTGTAATGTAATATTAATTAGTTATTGTAAAGCTTATTATAAAATGTGACTGCAGGTTGATACTACTGATAAAAGCTGTTTTTTGTTCATTTGTCATTTTCTAACTGAATGTACAATCTTCTAAATGAATTTTAGGGATATTGCTATATTTTTGTAGTGCCTGAGAAATGTAAATGACCATAGAGTCTTGTCTTTTTTAACATATATATGCGGTTAGTTTTAAGTGTGGTGCTATCTTTTATGGCAACTAATATACCTTGTCTGGCTAAATAACAAAAAATACTAAATAATTAAAATCTTCAAACTTGCATAGCATTACTTTGTGCTGACATTTTATTCTCCATCTTATTCTCTGTATTATTCTAAAGCTGATGATACACGGGGCAACTTTTTGAGCAATGTTGTCGTCAACGGGCAACCAAGTGAGGCACAGGGCCCATGGCCGATCTAAAATATACAGAGAGAAATTTGTTACCCATTCTCAATGTGAAAGTGCCCATTGAGCAATGCTGCCCATTGAGCAACGCTGCTCAAAAAAGTTGCCCAGCAAAATTGCTCAAAAATTTGCCCCGTATATCATCAGTCTAAGAAAATACATCTATTTAATTATATTATAGGATTTGAAGAAAAAAAATATTTTCTTCCAAATTATAAATGCAGAGGCTATTTGCATTAAATGCATATACTGTTGCATTAAATGCATATGCTATTTACGCTAACTGAAAATAGTATTTTCTTTACACTAATGGCGCTTTTCCACTGCGTGGTACGACTCGGCACAGCTCAGTACGGCACGGTTCGGCTCGGCTTACGTTTCCACTGCAGTTTAGTATCGCTTTAGAGTGGGCGGGATTTCAGATTACACAGCAGATGTTTCCCAGATCTTTAGCAGACGTCTTACAGATGTACTTGTGCTGTCTGGGTAGTTGAGATGCAGATAAAATTTACTTTTATTACTGTCATTCATAATGTCAAAATATAATATAATAAATACAAATACATATATATGTATTAGGGAGTGGAAATGGCTAATAAGCTTATAAGTACTTCTCTGCAGCCATCTACTAGTGATAATTTAATGTATTTTTTTTATTTTTAAATAAGTGTTTGCTTTCCTACATTATGCAACTTTTAGTTTTATAAATGGGGGCAACCTATGAAGGATGAACAAATAATATCACATTAAAAATACCTTTCAAATTCGGTAATACTTAAAGCTTTGAAGTGCTGGCAAAAGTTGTGTGAAGCATTTAAAACCACTCGAAAACATTAGACCATTTCTGCCACAAGTTGTTCCTGTAGTTTTAAATCCATGGTGAATGGTGGTGATTTGTGTTTATTGAACAATGTTTTTCCTGGTTTCCACATCAGTGGCCTTTGTTCTGATATCTGTAGCTTTAACAGAATTCTGTGCCGAATTTTAATGCTTCTCACAAGATTTCACAGAGATCTATTGATTCTGCGGCAAATTTGACTGCTTTTTTCACTGTATCTCCCAGCGCTGTGTATAACGGTGTTTCGTGATCGAGATCGGCCTGAGCAGATAAACGGTCTGCGCTGCATAGCCCAAACGAGTAGCGCGGATTCGTTCCGCTTTCGGTTAGTTTGTCCAATGTGGCTCTTGTAAATCGGTCATGATGTGAACGCAAGGCGGTTCATTCCATTTTTGGAACTGAGAAACCTTTCTTTGACTGAATGTGCGTTGCGATGACATCACGGGACGCGTCTAAGCCCAAAATCTGCGGAAAATCTGAGGCATTTGTGAGCTCTTGCGAAAATTGCGGAGTTTGCTTGATTTTGTGATAAATTCAGCGATCGCAGAATCGCAAAATCCTGGAGGGACTGAATAGCATTCAGTTCTATTTATAATTGGCGGAAACTGTTTGCACCTCACTGTATTGTAGTACATTATGAAACAGTGTGCAATAATGACTACATATTGATGTGACTACATATTCTCATTACTCCATAAACATGCTTCCAGAATTCCACAGGTCTATTCAGATTAATTTTAGCATATTCAAGTCAGCCATTTATGTTCTTCTTGGTGAAGAGTGGAGTCCAGCAAAGTAGTTTGATCACGGGACGCGTCTAAGCCCAAAATCTGCGGAAAATCTGAGGCATTTGTGAGCTCTTGCGAAAATTGCGGAGTTTGCTTGATTTTGTGATAAATTCAGCGATCGCAGAATCGCAAAATCCTGGAGGGACTGAATAGCATTCAGTTCTATTTATAATTGGCGGAAACTGTTTGCACCTCACTGTATTGTAGTACATTATGAAACAGTGTGCAATAATGACTACATATTGATGTGACTACATATTCTCATTACTCCATAAACATGCTTCCAGAATTCCACAGGTCTATTCAGATTAATTTTAGCATATTCAAGTCAGCCATTTATGTTCTTCTTGGTGAAGAGTGGAGTCCAGCAAAGTAGTTTGACATGTTTAGTTTAGTGCTCCTTTAAGAGGCTTAAGGCCTGTTATACTTTCCGCATCCGCGAGTCCGCTAGGGTCCGCTATGGTATGCGTGACGTAAAAATCGTCATCGGAGAGTGTGCGCGGAGGCTCTGAGCGGACATCCGCGTGCCTCCCATTTTTTGTGACCGTAGGTAGGCTACTGCGCATGCGCAGGCTGTGTGAAGAAGCCCGTTGCTACTCGAACCTGTACAATCCGTTGATAAAACAATATAAAGACAGCCAGATGTGCAATAACTCTGGGCAATTCTTTGTTCACATGTTTGTTTATTGTTCAAGCCGATCTACTACGCATGTATGGAACACGTCTACAGAGCGGACAGTTTCGGTAGTATAATTGCAAGTAGTCCATCGCGGACGCGTCCGGATTGTACGCGCGGAAAGTATAACACAGGCTTTACACTCTGCATTGAAATATTTTTTCCTCCTTTCATCGGGTCATCTTGCAAGTCTTTGGCAGTAAATTGAGGGTTTTTCTCAGTTGCTCTAATCAAACATTTTATGATATTGTGCTTTTTATTCAACACCCTGAAAGGTTTCATGGTACAACACATTTTAAACTTATGATTAAGTCTGCCAGCTGTGGTTGGCACCGATAGCCTCGTGGTTAGTGTGCCGACGTATAGCGCACAGTGCCCACAGTGACCCAAGTTCGATTCCCGTCTCAAGGTCCTTTGCCGATCCTATACCCCCTCTCTTCACCCAATGCTTTCCTGTCTGCTCAGTGTTCTCTACTGTCCTATCAAAAAAAGTCTGCCAGCTGTGTCTCTAGGGACTTTCAGTGTCTTGTAATGTAACAATAGACTTAATGTAACAATAGACTTTCTAAGGTAAAAAGACTATTTATTCTTATAGGCTGTTTCTCCTAATAATAAAGATAATAAAGTTCATCTCTGTGAAAAAGAAAGCCTGTAATACTCAAAATAGTTTCGGTACATAAATGTGTGTGTGTGGTAGCGCGAGTATGCATGTATCCAGGACTGGGAGATATGGATGCTGCTCCACAGCATGTGCAATTTATGTGTAACTGTCCTGGCTCTGCGGGCTACGAATATGACTGCCCAGGCAACTGGCAGGGCGATGGCCTGCCTGGTAGTGCTTAAGCGTCACCTATGGTTAAACCTCACGCCGACAAGGCCTCGGGCTCTTTGGCCCCACTGTGGAGTGTTTTCGCGGAGCAAACTATGCGCCACTTCCTGCCCAAACGCTCCAGCTCAAAGGCTCCACTGACTCAAAGCCTGCAAAGCTTACTCCATCGCTCAACTTAGCCTCAGCATTGGCCAGACCTCCATCCAAGAAGTCTCGCGCTTGCCTTCCAATCCCCCGTTCAGCTGTGGGTGCTGGAGGCGCTTTTCTTACTGTAAATGCTTGCCCCGTCCCACCTACTTTGCACACACCCAAAATACCACTGTTATAGCGGCCCAAATCACAAAAAAGAGCACTTTTTCTCTTCGCTATGACACAAATGCCATTCAAGAGACTTAAACCCCTCGCCTCCTAGGTTCGGGCTTGGGAAGCCATCCCTGGTGTGTCGAGTTGGGTTGTGCAGACTGAAGAATAAGGCTACTCCCTCCAATTCACTCACAGACCTCCCCATTTCAGGCGTGTGATCCAAACTTTGGTTCAGGACGACAAAGCTCATGTTCTCCAATCTGAAGTAAAGTATCTGCTGACGAAGGGCGCCATAGAAATGGTCCCGCCAGTTCTAAGCGAGTCAGGATTTTGCAGACACTATTTCCTCATTCCAAAGAGAGACGGTGGGCTCAGGCCTATCCTCGATCTTAGGCACCTGAACCATGCCCTAATGAAGCAGCCATTCAGGTTGTTGACTGTGAAACAGATCCTCTGTGGATATAAAATATGCTTACTTTCATATCCAGATAGCCCCCCAGCACAGATTGTTTTAGAGATTTATGTTCGAAGGGGTGGCTTACCAGTACACAGTCCTCCTATTTGGACTGTCTCTGGCACCACACACTTTTACGAAGTGGATGGACGTTGTCCTCTCCCTTCTGAGACAGAAGAGAGTGTGTTTCATGAAGTACCTCGATGACTGGTTAGTCACAGTCCGATCAGAGTTCGAGATCTGTGCCTACAGATCTCTACTCCTCACTCATTTGTAGCACCTTGGACTCAGAATCAATTTGGCCAAGAGCTCCCAGCCTCCCAGCCAGCGAGTTGCTTTCCTTGGTATAATTCTAGACTCAGCCCAGATGCGGGCCTGGCTTGCACTGGATCACTCTGAAAATTCAGCAGCGTCATTCAAATTAAGGGTTTCTTTTTCTCTCAGAGTATTCCAGAGGATGCTGGGCCTGATGGCGGCCACCACCTCTGTGGTTCTGTTGGTCCTGCTTCAAATGTAGCCCCTTCAATACTAGCTAAAATCCTGTGTCCTGTCCCGTGCTTGGCTTCTGGGATGCCTCAGCCTCAAGATGACCACCATTGTGTCAGAACTGTGGCCCCTTGGAAGGCCCCTCACCTGAGACAGTTGTCCAACTGGGACTGACCTTCAGAAGGAAGGTAGTTACGACAGACGTCTCCAACTCAGGTTGGGGGGCACTGTGTGAGGACAGGTCAGCGTACAGCTCCTGGTCCAGCCTGGAGGAATGCCTGCTTATCAGCTGCCTGGAAATGATCAAATTTTTTCTGGCCCTAAAAACCTTTTGTAACAAAGTTAGTAGTCACGGGAAGAAGGAGGCCTCGCGGACGACTGTCGCGCACAAACGAAACCAAAACACAAAATAAAATCCAGGCCTGGTCCTCTCTCGTCCAACACGGTCGTCACTCCTCCCTTTTATCCTTCCGGAGCTCCTCCGTGAGACTCGAGACCGGTGAGTGGGTGCAGGTGTCGCTCATTAGCAATCACTCCACCGGCCTCGCTTCGTTCCCACGGCTCTCGGCCCCGCCCCCCCTCGTCACACCTTTCTACTGGCCCTGAAGAGACACCACATCCTTGTCTGGTTGGACAGCATGACAGTGGTGGCCTTCATAAATCACCAGGGCGGTCTCAGGTCATAGTCTATACAGAATGGTGAGACGCCTCCTTCTATGGGCACAATGCAGCCTGCAATCCCTGAGGGCTGTACATGTGCCAGGCAAATTGAACAAATTGAGCAGACATGTTGTCCCAGGGCAGTGTGCCTCTAGGGAAATGGAGACCCCACCACCAAATGATTCAGATGATTTGGGATGTCTTCGGGAAGGCAGGAGTAGACCACTTCGACTCAGAAGACAACTCTCATTGCCCAATATTTTTCTCGAAGAAGCGAGACACACTGGCACACAAATGGCCCAATACACACCTGCTACCTCAGGTCATCAAAAGTCAGGGAGGTCAGATAATCAGTACTTCTAGTGGCCCCACACTGACGATCCAATCATGGTTCCCAGAGTTGATTCAGCTGCTGTCTGCAGCCCCTTGGTTATTTTCATTAAGGAAGGACCTTCTCTATTCAGCAAGAAGGACAATTTGGCACCCCCAACCCAAGTTGTGCAGACTACATCTGTGGCCCCTCAATGAGAACCTTTGCAGCTCCCCATGAGGGTTGCCAAAACCATCTTAGAGGCTAGAACCCCGTCTATGAGATGCCTCCATGCCCTCAAATGGTCTGTATTCTCCGACTGGTGTGCAGTCCAGAATGAAGACCCATCTTCCTGCAGCGTGTTGTCCGTCTTGACTTTTTTTTTCAAGAGATGCTGGATAAGGGGGCTAGTTTTCTCTAACCAGTCAGGGCCCTTAAGAGTTTATATAGAGTGCTCTTGCCAGTTTTGGCGATCAGAACAGCTCTTTGTGTGATTTAGAGGCTGCTCTAAAGGTCTGCTAGTTACAAAGCAGAGATTATCCCGCTGGATAGTGTGTCTTATGCCTCAGTGGGCTTATAGTGCCCTATTGGAGTCAGGGCCTCCAGGGGAATGACATCCTCCTGGGCTTGGTCCAGTGGAGTCTCCATTAGAGACATCTGTGCTGCAGCTGGCTGGTCTTCACCATCTACCTTTGCTAGGTTTTACAACCTGGACACCCAACAGGGCATGGATTTTGTCTGCCTGTCTCGTGACCCTGCTGATGATCAGGGCTATTTGTCTGAGGACCCTGGCCTGGGTTACTTAGGCCCTTACTGGCCCATGTTACTTTACGGTCCTCACCCCGGGTGCTGTAGGGCCGGGCTCACAGGACGGCGTAGCATCGTGCAAAGTATTGATTGCACTTTGACACTTTCAAACAGACTAACAAAAATGTTAATGAAAACATTTAACTTTTTACACTTTAAAATAAAACATTTAACTTTTTAACATTTAACTAGCTTTAACTTGCCATAACACGCATTTGTTGCAAAATAGTTACAAGAATGAATAAATACGCATCAACCTAAATTAACTAATTGTACATTATTAACTTTAAGGATAAGTTTTGCTTAATCCTTATAATTCCTTTAATAATTCTTTATAATTATAATATAGTGTGCTGTTCATAATATCATCCATTGTTATGCCCAATGAAGCCTCATCAAAAGTGCATACATGCACTGAATACTTCTGAATCTGAACCTAACCTGTTTATAATCTCTATTATTATTTATATATAACTATTAATAATTACAAGTTTCTAAATAATCAATATCCATCACTGATATGTAAATATGGGCAATTCTTTAAATAGTTTTCTGTGTAAAGACATACATGAAAATAATCAATTGTCCATTCTTTTATTTTTTTTAACAGAATTTAATCTTAACTTCAGGATTGTGACATACTTTCCAAATACAAGGTCTCTCAGTAAATGGTGCATTTGTGGTCATATACACATTGGTGTCAATGATACAAATGCTTTATGAAGAGCAGTCATCATCATAAGTAAAGTTTGATGAGCTCATCACTGACAGCAGAGGGCGTCAGCACACCGAGGTCAGTAAAGAGTAATGTGATGAGGGATGGAGGGGTGTAGTCAATCATGGGGTGCTCTTGGTTCAGATCTTTCACAGTTTTCAAGATATCTGCTTTATACTGAAAGACAAGAAACGAGCGATATTATGCATCTATTCTGTGTGATATGTGCAACTGAACAAGCGCTTCAGTTATCTTACCTTGAATCTGTCAGGTACGTCTTGCTGGTTAAGAGGGTAGAGTCGCACAAACTTAAAACTTTCTGCCACCACATAAAATGGTTTGTTGTGTGCCTTGGAGCACACAGCCATCTGATAGGTACCAATCTACAAAATAAATGAAATAATTTTACCAATCTATGAAATGAATGCAATAATAATAATAACATAGCTAAATGCATTTTGTTTTAAGACAAGACACTAAGCAAAAGTATGTATGTTTCAGACCTTGTTTATAACACCTCCACTTTCCACAACGCCCTCAGCACCGACAATTACCAGGTCAACCTTCTCCATTATGTACCTGAAAACACACAAAATAAGCAGCAAATGTTTATATGCAACCAAAAACTTCAATCATTTTAATTTTATAGCCACAACACGATAACCAAAGTTTGGTGCTGAAGCTCACCTTAAAACCGTCCATCAAGAGAATAGAAATGTTTATATTGCTGATATTTCTGATTAATAGTTTTTGGAATGACCAATTATTGAATTTGAACGCTGATTTGCAGAGGCGGACAGCAGTGAAGTATTTTTACTCTGCTGTAAAAGTGCTTTTCAGATGTCTGTACTTTATCAGAGTGTTTTTCTTTAGAAAACTTTACTTCACAACATTCCAAAGCATAATATTGTACTTTTTACTGCACTATGTCTCATATTAAATATTATTTAATACTTAATTACATTAGAAATCTATTACTTTCTTACTTTTACTCAAGTAAAAGTAATTCAAATATTTACTTGAGTACAAGAAAGTACTAAATTTTTAATGTTCTTAAGTATTAAAGGTAAAACAAACAACTTTTATTTATGAAATGCAGTGCAGTAAGTTTTAATGTTCTTAAGTATTAAAGGTAAAACAAACAACAACTTTTATTTATGAAATGCAGTGCAGTAAGAAGTATGACATTATGCTTTGGAATGTAGTAAAGTAAAGTTTTCCAAAGAAACACACTCTGATAAACTACAGATACTTTTTACATTTACTTGAGTAAAGTAAAAATACTTCACTACTGTCTGCCTCTGGATTTGAGTAGCGTTAAGAATTAAAGCATTAGTATTTTGGCATAAAAACAATTTTTCAAAAAAAGTAGAAACTTACCCGACTGCAGCATCAAGCACCACTGTGACGGGTATATTGAGGTTGCATAATTTTTGAGCCATAAGTTTACTAAGGAGCAAAAGGGGGAAAACATTCAGAAAAGACTAACATAAAAAATACTATGTAAACAATATACAAATGCACACATATTTTCATTGCAAGCTTAGGCAACATATTGATTCTTGAGGTCATGATTTGATACAAAATCGATTCTAGATTTTGAATCAAATTTATGATTTATGTAATTTATGCATAGATTTGATTCTAGTCTACTGTTTTGTGTTATTTTTCCTAGTAGACAGTTTAATAATAACAGTTTGAAAAACATGTCACTGAATTAAATGTAAACCTTCAAATGTATTGTTTTCTCTTCCTATTTTAGTCAACCCAATATTATAAAACAAATGCCATTTAAGCTGACTCCAGTCATTAAATGACACACATGACTAGCATTCGTCAGTAATAAAGCAAGGCAAGCCTTGAGACAAACAGAAAAACTACTTAGTATGTACATAAAATTCCTTCAATAACAGTTTGAAAAACATGTCACTGAATTAAATGTAAACCTTCAAATGTATTGTGTGCTCCGGGTGTGTGTTCACGGTGTGATCACTGCTGTGTGTGTGCACTTAGGATGGGATAAAGTGTGTTCACGGTGTGTTCACTGCTGTGTGTGTGCACTTTGGATGGGATAAATGCAGAGCACTAATTCCAAGTATGGGTCACCATACTTGGCCACATGTCATGTCACGTCACTTCATACAAAAATAAAAACTTTTGCAAATACATAATTGGTAAATAAAATAAAAATAAATAAACAATAGGACAAATACAATAGAAAAAAAATGTTTTTTAGATACAGTAGCCTAGGTTTATTTTGGCTAACATGTCCTAAGAAATACTACAGAAATTGAATAATCAAATGTAAAAATAACACACTGCATAGTCTTCACAGTATGAATTACATATAAATTGATTAATAATGAAAATATAAAAGTGATTCAGGTTTTTTTTTTTAAACATCAACATTTTATTAGGCTGCTGTCCCTTTAAGAACGAATGCATGAATCCAATACACCAGTGGTCGGCAAAAGGCGGCCCGCGGGCCAAAACTGGCCCGCCAGCAATAATATCTGGCCCGCGCCGGCACCCGCAGCCAGATTATTTTGATAGCGGCTGGTTCATGACAGCAACAGTTAGCCTACTCACAATCAGAGTATGTGAGCAGAGCAGAGTGGGAGCGGAGTGCGGAGTGGAGCGGTGTGATTTTGACTGGAGCGAGGAGCTGATTTTTTAAAAGTCGGAGCGTGGTTTTTCACTCGCTCCAACAGCTCTCCATCACGAGCTAAAATTCATGCCAACAGCCCGTAATATAACTGCATATTTAGCAAGAATTCACATGTATGTTTTGGCCCGATGCCAAACTTGCTTGCCGACCCCTTATACACTTTCTAATAAACTTTATGTTCACCTATGACATAGACTGTTTATGTGAATACTCCTCACGATTTTTAAGCTTTTACCGCTTTGAAGAAACTGCCGTTTTAAGTATCAATAACGATTCTTAAAGGTTTTCCTCTATAGTTGTACATTATGGACCATGTGATATTTCAGTTTTTCTTTTTTAATAAATCTGCAAAAATGTCAACAATTCTGTGTTTTTCTGTCAATATGGGGTGCTGTGTGTACATTAATGAGGAAAAAAAATTAACTTAAATGATTTTAGCAAATGGCTGCAATATAACAAAGAGTGAAAAATTTAAGGGGGTCTGAATACTTTCCGTACCCACTGTATATATAGTATTTCAGTCTGGCGAGTAAACAAAAAAAATTACTAGCAAATGGCGATTCAATTGCCAAGGTGTCCGTAGAGGGTTGTTAATAGAAAACTACTGGGTTCTGAAAAAATGTAAGCAAAAACTGATCAAATTTAAACTCAGTCAAAAAATATCTGAAGCCATTGTGCTTAGTTCCAGTATTACTGCATGTTATCTTTGTAGGGCAGAATAGTAGACAGCAAGAGACACTCGAGCAGTGTTGTATAGACTCACCCTGCTGAATCCGGCTGTGATTCAGTGACATATACTGTGAAGCGTTTGTTATCAGCTGCTGCATTTTCCAGAACCTTTAAAACCACTCGAGACGATGAGTGTGTCAGGATTTTCTGCAGATGGAAAGTAGAAATGAGCAGAACGTCACCAAAAGAATGACAAAAAGACATGCCCCAATTCCTCTACTACTATACTTACAGCTCCATCTTTGATAAAGGTGTGGCACAGTTTACCCACTTTGCCCCGAGACAGGGATATTTTCTTCAGGAAGAGTTCACCTCGCTCTATCATCACATTCTTACATTGTGAGAGATCCTGTGAAAAAGGGAGAAACAGCAACCATCACCATAACAAGGTCGATCACGCCATGACAGAAGAAAAACAAAAGTGCCAACTGTGCATAATAACATCATAAAATAAAACAAAAATAACTACAGTGATTTAAGTGCATTTAAAACAATGGATATTTAATGACAATATTTCATTATTATCTTCCATGTTTTCGATTCTCTTGAACTGCAATGCACTTGAATGTGACACCAGGATTATTATAATTAACTAAAACTAATACCATAAAAAAAATGTGTTAGTCGAAATAAACGTTAACTGAAATATTAAAAAACTTTCACTTATTTTATTTTAGCAAGTATCCAAGGTAACATTTCTCATTTTAAAATTTGTTTAAATTTATATACTCTAATAAAAATAACAAAAACTGAAAAAATACTATATAGACATATTTTTAAAAAGGAAAACTAATAAAAATGACCAAAACACAACAGAATTACTAAAACGTTAACTAAAATGGAAAATATAAAAATATAAACTAAATCAAATTATATTAATATAAACTATATAACTAAATAATTTAATTAAAATGATAGCATCTTAATGATACTCAATTCTCTAGATTGTAGTTTTCTTATAAACCTAGCACTGAATACTACGAATTTGGCTGGCCCTTTGATGAATTGTTTAGTTTTTCTTTTATATAGTGCTTTGGATAAAAGCGTTTGCTAAATCCATAAATGTAAATGTAAATGAACACTGCGTGGCACATTTGTAATTGTGACGTTAGAAAAGAGAAGCAGCATTTTCTGACAAGCAGATGAAGGCAGGATTACTCTCACATTTGTGACGTGACGTGACATGTGGCCAAGTATGGTGACCCATACTCAGAATTAGTGCTCTGCATTTATCCCATCCAAAGTGCACACACACAGCAGTGAACACACACACCGTGAACACACACCCGGAGCAGTGGGCAGCCATTTATGCTGCGGCGCCCGGGGAGCAGTTGGGGGTTCGGTGCCTTGCTCAAGGGCACCTCAGTCGTGGTATTGAAGGTGGGAGAGAGCGCTGTACATTCACTCCCCCCACCTACAATCCCTGCCGGTACGAGACTCGAACCTGCAACCTTTGGGTTACGCTTGTCTCTTTTGAACCCGTGTAGTGCCAGTGAGATCTAAACCCTGGAATGTGATGCGATCTTAATTCACTAAACAGCAGCAATATTAAACAGAGCAACTAGACTGACTGAAATGTTGAACCGACCGGATGTTCCAGTGAGGTGAGACTGATGAAGCGCAGGAAGAGCTCTCCTCCAGATGACACCGCCACCGATGAATCCGTCTCTTCTAGTCTATGTATGGCTTTTGTCATGTTCTCTCGCAGGCCAAGGATCGTCTCACCTAGAGAAGCACCAGCATTGGTTAACATGCGCATCTCATATCCCTGAACACTTTCCTGAAAACAAGACAAAACTCACTTTGCTCCCTCTTGAGGAATTCAAGCAGCGATCGTATAGCAGCCACCGCTGAAGCCACATCTGGGTCTTCTCTGATCTGCGCTCGGAAATATTCCACCAGTTCTGAGAGGAAAAAAATTCATAAGTTAATACATTTCAGTGTTTAGCCAAACGGAGCTCGCAAGTAAACAACATTAAATTCCCATTGTGCAAATGTGAATGTGAAGCATATTACAAAACATAATAAACACTTCAATAACATTCTGGGCTTTTTATGTTTTTTTCTGTAACACTTTACAGCAAGGTTTAACTTGTTACCATCAATTCAATTTATTTATCTACATTAGTTTACACAAACTAACAATGAACAGTTCTTCTACAGCAGTTATAAGTATTACCTTAAATTAATTTGAACATTTGCACATTCCCTAAATGTAAAGTTGTCTTTTAACATTAACATTAAGATGATGCTGTAAAAAAATACACCGCAATATATTACATATTGCTCAGTGTTTGTTCATATTAACTAATGCATTAACTTATGTTAAGTGAGACCTCACCTTACTGTAAGTTTCTCTGAATGTCACTCATAATAACGCAAAAGTCGTGGAGATGCACATGCACACGGAACGCACATTTAGCCAGTCGTATAATTGAGCAAAGCAGATGGAAAATCTGCCTTCATGTTTTTCGCAACATAACGGAATGAACAAAATAATGTATTCATTCATAATCTAGAAGGTGATCAGAAGACCACAGCTACTAGCAAAATGGCATGACCCATTATTGCAAATCTTATATACTACTTTGCGTTGTTTTTCTGCTTATGTTAAGTGAGACCTCACCTTACTGTAAGTTTCTCTGAATGTCACTCATAATAACGCAAAAGTCGTGGAGATGCACATGCACACGGAACGCACATTTAGCCAGTCGTATAATTGAGCAAAGCAGATGGAAAATCTGCCTTCATGTTTTTCGCAACATAACGGAATGAACAAAATAATGTATTCATTCATAATCTAGAAGGTGATCAGAAGACCACAGCTACTAGCAAAATGGCATGACCCATTATTGCAAATCTTATATACTACTTTGCGTTGTTTTTCTGAAAACTCACCTCCTTCTTCCATATTAAAACTGCTCAATGCGTCTCAGTTGACGAATGATGCGATTCACGAGCAAATACTCTCTTACAACGCGTTGCTGATGCAATGTTCTCTCAAGACACTTTATGAGACTGAACCCGGTGAAATATTTTGACTGCCAAAAGAATAAGGTTTATCCTACTAACTCCTTTCAAATTAGCGACTTTGTCAACAGAATAATGTTTGTTTTATGAATTTATTTCAAATTATCACCGCTATGCAGTAAGCAAGTGGACTTGCACGTTCTTCTTCTTCTTCTGGTGTTAATGGCGGTTGGCAAACCAACTTAAATGGTGCATTCCCGCCACCTACTGGATAGGAGTGTGGAGCGCATAATGATTGGAAGTTTGAGAACTATAGCCAAAAAAAAAATTATTAATAAAAAAACAAAACCAATTATTCCCGCTTTTTTTACTACAACTGTATCCTAAATTCTGTTTATCAGTCTTGTTTCTTTTAAGAAAATAATTAATTCATGAAATATTCTTGATAGCTTTGGACCATTTCCTAACAGAACCTGAAGTGACAAATTATTTATTCCGAATGATCCTAAAACTTGAATTACGGTAGTTGAAATCTTGCTTCTTCATATGCGACTTGCACTTTCTTCTTCTTCTTCTTCTTCTTCTTCCTTATTTAATGACGAATGGGCCATCTTTGGTGTGTACCGCCACCTACAGGACTAGAGCAAAACAGCATGACAATTAATTTTTAAGCTATATTAATGTGGGGATGTAATAATACTATTCTCAAAATAAATCGATATATTTCGATAGATATATTTAGTATTATATGAAATAAAACATGAAAATATGGAGAAGTAAGGGTGGTTATTATTTTACAAGAGTAACTTATTTCATGCTCCAGCACAGAAGGTGGCGGTGTGCACTTATTTAGCTGGTTCGTAAACCCTTCAGTGAATCCACAGAAGAAGAGCTCATTATGAGTCGGAACACAACTTTTAACAATATTGGAGGAAATACTAACTGAAATACCTTTACATAGCGATTTAGAGATAAAAGAATCGCAATAATGGCCTCTGGTTTGTACATCAAATAGACCATGTTTTAAAAATGTATTTAAAAGTAAACAATTGTGCATTTAACTTGTTATTTGTTTCTTATAAATAGGTGGAAGTGTTTGAATGGAGTACATGAATTGTGATGCTCTTAAAGTAGACATGTAAAACAGTATGTCACGTGTTATATATGTGAAAATCACTAATCACGATCACTAATGTTTGCAGACGACGAAATTAATATTCTGGTCATTGTGTTAGATGTCAACCCTATTTGGTGGGGCCAGCAAGCTCAGCGGGAACCTCAGGTACTTTCATTTTTATATAATGTCATTTTGACCCTAATCCATAATGTTTTTGTTCATGATTAAGATTAACCTCATTGCCCTAAATTGTTTTTTTTTTTAAGTTCACTCTTTCAACATGCCTGGATTCTTTGATGGTCATGGCAAATGCCCATTTAGTGATGTCAAGAACCAACAAACTAGCCGTCATTGCAAACCTGTATCAAAAGAGGTAAACAGTTAACTGTTCTCAGAAAAATTTAACAAACATATTCTAAAACTATAAAAAAATGTCTCTTTTAAAGCCACTTTCTATATCCAAGTAAGCAGTGGAAATCAGGGGATGAAATATCTGTAAGTAGCGATGGCAAATATGAACTTCTGTCAGTTACCAATGAACTCTTTGCGGAAGAGATCAGGAATCTCATGGACAGAAGTAAGTTATTTAATGAATTAATTATTATTATTCAGGTTAAAGGAATAGTCCAGCTAAAAATGAAGATTTGCTGAAAATTTTGTCATTCTCTGGCCATCCAAGATGTAGATTAGTGTTTCTTCATCAGATTTGGAGAAATGTAGCACTGCATCACTTGCTCACCAGCGGATCCTCTGCAGTGAATGGGTGCCGTCAGAATGAGAGTCCAAACAACTGATAAAAACATCACAATTATCCACAAGTCCAGTCCATCTATTCACATATGTGAAGTGAAACACTGTGTGTTTGCAAGAAACAAATCCATTAAGGCATTTTTTAACTTCACGCCATTGCTTGGCATTACGAGTCCCTATTCCATAATTTTGCTTTCTCGGGTGAAAAAGTCCATCTCCAAATTTTCATTTTTAGGAGAATTATTCCTTTAACAAAACTAAATGTCTTGGTTTCATACATGTATTACTTGTGCTGGCTGGTTTGATGCATATAGCTTAATATCTAATGCCGTTCTTGACTGTTTTTTTTTTGTTGCATTGTTTTAATGGATGATATTACAAGAGAATAATTATGTTTTTATTTTCTTTATTAACAGCAGAGGTCAATGGCAGTCAAACAGACAGCCTGTTGGCCGTATCACTCGCCAAAGCTCTGTGCTGTATCCTCAACCTCTGGTTTATGCAGATCAGCTGCTCAGATTTTCTCTTTTTATTTCAATTTAGACCTAAGAGTGTTTTGTGAATTAGATATGATATTTAAACTATAGACTCCGATTTTCTTTAATTTTAGACTCTCAGATATTCATCGAGTCTCAAAGGATGTGCAAGGTATGCACATTTTCCCCTGGATTATGTTTCACAATGCGATAAAATCTAATCACATTGTGCATAAGTTCCATACTTTAGAGCAGTGATCCTCAAATCTGGCTCGCGAGATCCACTTTCCTGCAGAGTTTAGCTCCAACCCTAATCAAACACACCTACCTGTGATTTTCTAATGATCCTGAAGACATTGATTAGCAAACTCAGGTGTGTTTGATTAGGGTAGCGCTAAACTCTGCAGGAAAGTGGATCTCGCGAGCCAGATTTGAGGATCACTGCTTTAGTGTGACAGTTATGTAAAGTTCTTTTAATCACCTTACTCTGCAGGAAAGTGGATCTCGCGAGCCAGATTTGAGGATCACTGCTTTAGAGTGACAGTTATGTAAAGTTCTTTTAATCACCTCGTTTTAAATAGATCTCAGTATTATTAACCCTTAGGCTGAACTCTCATGCTTTTACTTACAGCTGGACAGGACATGAAATCAAGGATTTTGGTAAGAACATCTTTGGGTTTAACAGTGAAACATGCAATGTTTAATTGTATAACTGCAGTACCATTTTTCATTATGTTTTTCAGGTAATAAAAGCTGCTGAGGATTCTACATTACAGTATATGAACTTCATGAATGTGATCTTTGCAGCACAGAAGAAGGTGGGAATAACAAACAAACTTGCATCATAGATTGTATTCTTAGATATTGGATAATGCCTCCATTATTTAACTTCCATTCTCCCTGTTCTCAAAGAATATCCTGATTGATGCCTGTGTGTTGGACGCTGACTCAGGACTGCTGCAGCAGGTATTTTGTTTGATCACAGTGGATAAGAAAAATAAAATACATCAATTATTTTATTTATTTTTTTAATAAAAAAAAAAAAAAAGAATACATCAATGTGTAGCAAAGTGATAACTCATTCAAATAGTGGTGTAAATGATTGTTCAGACAACACAAAAAAAATGAACAGATTATGTATCTTTCTACAAGGTTTAAGCACTGCAGCTGAATTGGGTGAAAATGTTAACTAATGAATATCACCATACTTTCACCAGTTGATTAAGAGTTTTCTGAAATGCAAATTAGGCCTTATTAAAGTAAATATGCACTAGTTTTCATACGTTTCCAGAACATTGGATAAAGCAACATACTAAAGGTTTTTCCAGAGGGGATTTGAAATAAATCAAAAAAATATATACTGTCAACAGTCAGAAAAAAAATATTCACCATATTTTTTAGAAATAAAATGGTTTAATTAAATGGTGCAAAAGATATCTGAAAAAACACCTCGATAAAATCCTGCGGAATATAGATAAGAATAAAACTGTAAAGTTTGATGTCAATGCTGCTGAAGATGAGAAAAAATCAAAGATTTTAAAGATATGTATTGTAATTAAAATCTACAGATGAAAATAGATAGTGGAATAAAATAAACACTTCAAAGGGATAGCTCACCCAAAAATTTAAATGACCCCATGATTTAATCACCCTCAAGCCATCCTAAGTGAATATGACTTTCTTCTTTCAGATGAATAAAATCTGAGTTATATTAAAGAATGTCCTGGCTCTTCCAAGCTTTATAATGGCAGTGAATGGATGAAATTCAATAGTCCAACCATCATAAAAAAGAGCTCCACACAGCTCCTGGGGGTTAATAAAGGCCTCCTGAAGCGAATTAATGTGTTTGTGTAAGTAAAAATATCTATATTTAAAACTTTATAAACCATAATCTCTAGTTTCCTCTAACTGTTGTACACCCGTTCACGAGAGAGTGGCGTTCCAGTGGATGACGTAGGACATGGGCGTAGTGTAAGCTCAGGTAAATAAGGACATTATTCTTATACAAACACATCGATTCGCTTCAGGAGGACTTTATTAACCCCCCGGTGCCGTGTGGAGCACTTTTTTATGATGGATGGATGCACTTTATTGGACTTCTATTGGACTATTAAATATCAACACCAATTCACTGCCATAATAAAGCTTGGAAAAGCCAGGACATTTTTTCTTATATATAACTCCGATTGTATTTGTCTGAAAGAAGAAAGTCATATACGCCTAGGATGGCTTGAAGGTGAGTAAATCATAGGGTAATTTTCATTTTTGGGTGAACTATCCCTTTAAATGTGTATTTGACGTTTTCTTTCCACTAGTCTGAATTGATGTCATGGAGGCAAAATAGCCCCGAATTTTAAATCTCAATCTTAATGGTTTGCCTGCAGTGTCTTACCTTAAAATAGAAAGAAGTATCATTGTTTATAGTGGCACTTGTTTCTATTTTAAACTAAATTCATGTCAATTTTTCAAACATTTGATGACACGTTTGCTAGTGCGTTAACTGTTTCTTTTTCGTAAGCGCTTGTTGTGACATCCTGGTAACAAAGCTTTGCTTCCTGATGGCCAAACAGATTGTGTCTGACAAAAGAGCTTAGGTTAGACGCCATATTGATTTTAACAAGGATGAAAATGAGCCTGTGAGAGAAAGACTTACAGTCTTTACAATGGCATGCAATATATAAAGATCCTGGATCATGTCATTTTAAAACCAACTCACAACTTATACAACTTTAAGACATTTTGTCAGCTGAACAGTCAGTATGTTGTTAAACAACATGAACACACTGTACTTCTATCCTTCACAGACTTGCTTACATTCCTGTCAAAATTAAATATTTTTTATTTTTATTTGCAGCATTCACGATGCACATTGATGAATTTTCATTATGTAATTATTTGATTTGATTAAGTGTGAAACAATTCACACTTCTGTTTGTCTTTCAACAGGCTTGTGACATAACTGGAGGCTTGTATCTCAGAATTCCCCAGAAGATCGCACTCACACAGTATTTGTTGGTGAGACATTTGTGCAATTTTGAACTTGTGACTATCCCAATCAAAACTGTACTCTAACAGGTTATTTTATGTTGTTTTATATGTCAAATATTCTCTTGCTGAGACTGTAACTGCTGGTTGTGTGTCAGTGGGTATTTTTCCCAGACACAGACCAGAGATCCCAGCTGTTATTGCCTCCTCCGACATTCCTGTCAAAATTAAATATTTTTTATTTTTATTTGCAGCATTCACGATGCACATTGATGAATTTTCATTATGTAATTATTTGATTTGATTAAGTGTGAAACAATTCACACTTCTGTTTGTCTTTCAACAGGCTTGTGACATAACTGGAGGCTTGTATCTCAGAATTCCCCAGAAGATCGCACTCACACAGTATTTGTTGGTGAGACATTTGTGCAATTTTGAACTTGTGACTATCCCAATCAAAACTGTACTCTAACAGGTTATTTTATGTTTTATATTTCAAATATTCTCTTGCTGAGACTGTAACTGCTGGTTGTGTGTCAGTGGGTATTTTTACCAGACACAGACCAGAGATCCCAGCTGTTATTGCCTCCTCCGGTACACGTAGACTACAGAGCCGCTTGCTTCTGCCACCGCAACCTGATTGAAATTGGCTACGTCTGTTCAGTGTGCCTGTCAAGTATGTTTCCATCTACCCTTTATTGCTTATCAGCTTGGAGAGACGTGTTTACATTTTTTTTGTTAGATTTAGGCTTGTTTTTAGACTCTTGTGTCTACTGCATGCGAGCATCACCACAGATGTATGTCACACAACCGTTCAAAAGTTTGGGGTCGGTGAAATTTTTAAAATGTTTTTTTTAAAGAAGTTCCTTCTCCTGCGCTCACAAACGCTGCTTTATCAGACATTACAGGCATGATGTAATGAAAATGAGACCAATCACTGCAGATTAGCCTCAAGCAAAGGAGGTTGAGCAAGTAAGGTAAAAAATAAATGCACATTATAAGACAATGAAAGTGTTTTTTGACCTTGCATGCATGTCAACCTGTTGTTGGGGACTCCCAAAACCAAAATGTGAACCTTTCATTACCCACCTTCGCCAGGTGCTCAAAATGAACCCTATGATGAGGAAGAGAAGAGCACATATCAAGTACATGCTGCTGTCCTCATCACTGGTGGTTTGTACACAAAATATGGTCTAAAATCATAAGCATAAGTGATTTGCAAACGTGTACTTTGCATTATTAATCCAGTTTTCATAGTTTATTAAACCATGTATCAGCTGTGGTACTGATTGAATACACATAGGAAAATAATATTTCTTGGACAGTTCTAAACAAATATGTGGGTGGAGTTTGATGTGAGAAAACAACAGCAGAAGGACTTTTTTTAACTGGAGGAAGCGTTATTATGAATTATTGGTGAGCAAGCGCGTGGTGATACAACTAACAAGTAAGTGCACTCACTTTGTACTCTTGTTGATGAGCCAGTCTTCATGTTTTGTGTGGAGTTTCTCGAGGTAATCAAGCTGAATTCCCTGTTCCTCCATTCGACCTCGTCTGCCTAACCTCTCCATGCAGGTCTGGAGAACATAATATTAAAATGCATCAATTTATATTTAATTATTCAAGTCGATTAATGAAAGCGATGCACACCTGTGGTGATGCTCGGAGATATATGATGCCCTCCAGTTGAATTCGATGACCAAACTGCTCAACAAGAAAGGAGTGCCAATCCTGATACACAGCCCACTCTGTTGAGTTTATACAGCCAAGCTCAAACATATTTAAAGCAAAGATGTACCTGAGAGAGAAGGATATACAAACTCTGAATGTAAATATAACCATGAAAATAAACATATTGAATCGTAATTCCCTTGTCTAAAAGAATTGAGCTTAATTGTTCTGCATTTGCAGTTTACTTCAAATCTTAAAAGTATATATTTAAAACAATGTACTTGCAGATAATATAATATTACTGAAATATAAGGCCACTTAAGTGTGCTTTAAAGAGAGACACTTTCATGACTGTTTCTTAAAGGGGTCATCGGATGCACATTTTCCACAAGTTGATATGATTCTTTAGGGTCTTAATGAAAAGTCTATAACAAACTTTGGTTAAAATTTCTCAATGGTAGTGTAAAACAACACCCTTTTTACCCAGTCAAAATCAGCTCTGTTCACAGCGACCTGTTTCAGTGCATGTCCCTTTAAATTCTAATGAGCTCTGCTCCCCCCGCCCCTCTCTTCCGTGGGTCGTGTCGACACAAGACAAGAATTGCTGCCTTGGACTCCGTATATGGCTCGGAGCTAGCTTTAGCTAGCTATCTACGTAGAAATCGGCTACAAACTGAAACAGCTCACTGGATGACACAGTTTCAGACTTAGACAGCCCATAACACACTGGTTGTGTGTTTTCTTATCAGCTTGATCTGGCAGACACACCAGAAACCTAACTAAATGCAAGAAATGCTTAAAAAAAGTTACATTTTATCCAATGTCCCCTTTAATTAGTCTTTTTTAAACCTTTTTTCAGTAAAAATATTCTTAAAACTAGATAAATTTACTGTATATGAAATTAAGACATGTTTTCATAGATTGTTCAGTATGAGTATATTTTTTCTTATTGCACTGGCAGATTTTTGCACTTAACTTGTTTATACTTAAAACATGTACTAAAAATCTGCCAGTGCAGTGAGACAAAATACACTCGTATTAAAGAGACAATCTATAAAAACAAGTCTTAATATTTTATGCAGTGCTGCTTCTAAAGTAAATTCATCTTGTTTTAAGAATTTTAAGATGTTTTAGCTGTAAAATAAGACAAAATACTCTGTCTAGTCTAGGTGTGGAGAAGTCTTGCTAACTTGCAGATGCAGAATAAAATTGCCTATTTCACCTAGTTTTTTTTCTGTTTTTTGCTTTTTGTCGGCTATTTTGCCGTAAAATATTTGCTTGTCTTTAAAGGGGTCATATGATGCTTTTTTAAAGATCATTATTTTGTGTATTTGGTGTAACAGAATATGTTGACATGCTTTAATGTTCAAAAAACACATTATTTTTCAAATACTGTACATTATTGTAGGTCCTCTATGCCCCGCCTCTCTCAAACGCTTCGTTTTCTACAAAGTCCCTCCTTCCGACAAGCACAGTCTGCTCTGATTGGCCAGCTGAACCAGTGCATTGTGATTGGCCGAACACCACAAGCACCTGTCGGAAATGTAACGCCCCTTACCATAAACGCGAGCTTCA